GGAGGTTTGCTAAGTACCATCCACGTGGAGAACACGACCATTTCCCCCATTTTCACCATGGTAATACACAAACGGGCATGATGTACTCACGAAAATGGCCACACCCCCTTTTAAACAAACAGTAGGCAATGCATGCACAACATAACCTGAGTTTCTAGATCCCGTACATCTTTGAGGTTATGCTCTTGTAAAAATACTACATCCACCTTATACCTACCAATAAACCACACCTAGTCCATTAAAGTTTATGGCCATACATTGGAGGCCTAGGTGAGAGGTGGTTTGTGGCATTGACTGACTCGACCTTTTACACCTTCAGCAACACCCGTATTGCCACCTTTACCAGGCACCACAATCTCTGGTTTCCTGGTTCCTTTGGCAGTGTGCGATTTAGGCCTTACAACCCCAGAGCCACCCGCTAAGTCTACTCACAACTTCTTACCACTCCTCTGGGCTGGTGTTGACACATCATCGGAATCCAATGCTGTCTCTGTGCATTTCTGAGCGTCTGTGTCCTCCACCACACATCGTTCACTTGAAGCCACCCGATGCACATCCACTTCCACCTCCACCACACTGAGCATCCCCTCTGGCTCAGCATCCGTCACGAGAGCAAGGGATGGTTCCACTGTCCTCACAGAAGCCTCCACACATGCCGGACACTCATTCCTCTCCTCAGGTGTCACTGACATCCCGTCCAATGGGGAAGGACATATTTCCCCTTAACATATTTTCAAACACTTCCAGCTCTGCTTCCTCGGTCTCCGTCCGTGCCTGAACCGTAGATTTCGACACTGTAATGCATTCTTCTGTTGTTTCCTTCTCAAGGTCAGCCGCATCCGCCACACCATTACCCTCCTTCTCAGTGTCTTTGGCAGCACTGCCTTCAGGACAGTGGGCCATGCCCCATGGCCATGACGCTCTGTCTGCCCCTATGAGGTCCATCCTGATCACGCTCTGGCGTTCCGTCCTACGAAGACACTCTATAGTCATGAGTCCATACCCTTTGCAAATCCTACAGGTCCATCGATGTCCTGCATAGGATACTATTAGCTGCGTTCCGAAATCTGGCAGGATTACATAGGATGGCACAGGGTACTTCAGAGATATTTTGAGAGAGTACACCCCCTTAGACAAACCAGCATAAATGCCAGTCATCCATGTTCCCGGTCGTGCCACATGTATCTTACCAAAATGACTGAACACTTGCCATAAGTCATCTTTGGTTGCTTCAAAGGAAACATTATATAGTTTCACCAAAGTGTATCATTTGGACACCAGGCACACTTTGGCATCTACATTCACCTCCATCACGACGTCTTGAAATTTATCAATCATCTCATCGTACACTTGAGCAGATAGCAACTTGACAAACAATCATTTAGTCCCATTCATCGCTACACCATAGAGATCCTCGTCTGCTATTCCGTATGTCTCTCTGATGATGGTGGATAGCAGTACATTTGTCACATCAGTAGTTACAGTTCCCTTCAGCAGTTCAATTCCGACTGTGTTTACATGTTTCCTCAATCCCACGGCCATTATACTCATGGGCAAACCACCTGAAAAGGTTGGAAGAGCTCTGACAGGACGTCCACCCAAGCCCCTGACTAGGCAGAGAATGTCCCCTGCAGGAGGCTTACAGGGCATTGCCTAAATTATTACCTGCAAGTAATTTGGGTTAGGTAAGTTGGACGTAAGTCACAGCAGGTCATTGAACTGTAACTCCCTCGATGTCCACTTCTTCACCACTCTCACAAAAAGCTAAATCTGACATTAAATTAATAATTACAATACTAAAACCAGCTACTCTGGTAAATTAAATTTGTGTGGACTGTATATGATTATGCTTGCTAGGTACACAGAATATAATTATTATACATCAATTATTAGTGGTATTAGAAAGGAAATTCTTATTAACACTTACCTTTTAATTACTGGATCGTAATTATTTTATGGAAACACACCCTAACGCTTCCTGTACAGCTAGGATTTACGATGGCCAATGCAAAAACTACTGTACATTAAGGGTAAGCATCACTTAGCTAAGGTGTGTTGTTGGGAAGGGTTCATTGAAGTCCTCTATTTTTTCATCCTGGTTACCGAATTGTAAAGGCTTTCCACACTATTTATCCCAGTTCTTCAGCAAGAACGTGTCAGCAATTTCTAAATCATAGATTGAGGCCGACATACACCAACTGACCCTCGAGAACGCCTGATTACATTGCACAATTCAGTCCAGTGTTCACACATTAAATTCAGTATGGTGTCTGTCCCCGGCGTTACTCCGCCGGGGACAGACACCCGCCTCTCACTCGAAATTTCTCGAAGGATCCAAATAGCATCGCATTTTAATATACAATTATTATATTATTCATTTATATATTCTACATTTAGAAAATTATATAAAAAAATTCCACAGTTCTCTTCTTGAACTGGTTCATGCTATGACTGGCTTTGACATGTACAGGCAGTCTGTTCCATTCCTTTATTGCTGTACAATAAAAGGTGTTTGAAGCCTGGCCTCTGACTGTGGGTACTACAAAGTTGTGCTCTCTCCCCCTAGTACTATGAATTGCTTTGGTTCCTAACCTTGACAAAATTGTCATGAAGATATTCTGGACACTGTTTGTGAGCAGTTTTATAAACGTGATTTAACTTCAGCTGTTTTACTCTGTCTTCAACATTCAGCATATCCAGTTGTCGTAATTCATCCTGGCCTACATGTTCTCTTAGAACCACGTCCTAGATTAATCTTACCATTTTGTTCTGGGTGATTCTGTAGTCTATCTTTCATTTTTTTTTATTATAGGCAGAGTACCATGAACTTGTCTGTACCATGTGCTTGTCTGTGGAGGAATTTTAGTCTGCCATTCACTTTCTTTAGTACACTGTTCCCTATCAATTTTCCTGACATACTTGTGTCAAATGGAATTCACAGATATTTCACTGAGGAAACTGAAGTGATGGTCCCCCATTACACCTTTTAAGTTTATGTTTCGTGCCAAAGAATATGGCTTCCGTTTTCCCGAGGTACAATTATACAGGTTTAGGTGCTGACAATTATCAAACATAGTAACGTGTAAATTACCTAAGACAATCCCATAAAGTTCCACTGGGGTCCCTGTAACATGATTATTATAACCTTAAAAACAACTAAGCAACTCATCTGCGTGAAAATCATTACAGGAGGAAGAGATACAATAAAAATTAAGTGAACTGAGTTATTTACAATAACACTAAATAAACAGGAGCAGCTTACAACATAATCAATGTTATTTATATATAATTAACAATGTTAGTTATACATGAAATCACTCTCCTCCATTTCTGTAGATTCATTCACTCGGAACCTTTTAGCTCTCTTTCTGAGCTGGTTCATGCTAGGACTGGCTTTGACACGTTCAGATAATCCGTTCACTCCTTTACTGATGGATAATAAAAGGTGTTTGAGGCCTGACCACGGACTGTAAGTGCTACAAAATTATGTTCACTCTCCCTAGTACCATACTGGTTTTGGTTGCTAACCTTGACAAACTTGGCAGCAAGATATTCTGGACAATGCTTGTGAGAAAGTTTTGAACATGACTTAACTTTGTTTGCTTTACTCTGTTTTCAACATTCAGCATATCGAATAATAGTAATAATAATAATCTTTATTTTTACAAGTACATGTAGAAGGTACACAGTCCTAGCTGACATCAGTAATATACTACTATATGGAAAGTTATGCTTGTTATGCAGAGCATTTCGGGCAAATTAGGTCAATTTTATCCCCAGGATGCGACCCACACCAGTCGACTAACAGCCAGGTGCCTATTTTACTATTAGGTGAAAAGGAACAGCAAGTGTCTTAAGGAAACACGTCCTAATGTTTCCACCCGTATCGGGGATCGAACAACGGACCTCAGTGTGTGAGCTGAAAGATCATAGATTGCGTAGCATCTCCAGCAAAACTTAGACTATGTTGTACTTCAAATGCACGTAGTTCAATTTTTTAGTTATTTTTCTCTTTAAGGGTTTAATACCAGGTATTAGTGGGGACTTAAAAATAGATATATTACAAGTTAATTCATAAAATATTATGAAAATATAACTGACTAATTTTAACAGTGGTACTAATTACATAAATTATATTACAAAATATAGTGATGTATTATATATATTGTTAGAATTATTTCTGCAGATAAAAATATAAGAAGTACAAAGGTAAAACTATGTAACATTATCAGTACAATTGTTGTGCCTGAAGGGAGTGCAGTTTCTCTTTCAATATATGGGAAGTGAAGGAAGAGAAGACCAGGGACGGGACCGGATGAAGGAAGAGAAGACCAGGGACGGGACCGGATGAAAAGAGGATTTGTCATAGTAAATTGCTGTCAAGAATCACAATAAGGTAAGGAGGTGCTATTTAACAATAGCTTTGAAGCGGTTAGCAGATAGGGAACCTTTGTTATCTTCAAGCATAGAATTCCAGATTTTAGGGCCTTTTATGCTCACTGAGTTTTTACTCAGGTTGAATCGAACAGCATTTTTCCCGTCTCGGTCAATGTTATTTAAACACGTGAATGATGATATTTACCAAGGATTACGTGTCTGTGTTCAGTGTAACTTTGATTCTCCAGACTTTCCAAACCTATGCAACTGGATGACTAATAAAAAGTGTAATGCACTATGGAAACTGCTGTGGACTACCCTTCCCAAAGTATCACAAGTGTTACTAAGCTGGGGATGTGTTACGGGATGCAGTCGTTCTTGCAAATGTTATCAAGGGCATAGCTTCTTACAAGCGTTTGGAAAGGTCCTTGTTCTGTTGTTATAGGTAACGTCACTCATTTTGTTTTGTCGACCGTATTCCAGTTAAACTCAGTTGTGTTCGTCAGGAAACAGGAAAATATCTTTGCACTGAAGTTTGTCGGATGATAAACTTTTCAGTGATTAAGCAGCTATTATTGGCTTAGCGGTGTGATAAGGGAAAACTTTAAGTAAAACAAACTCACTGAGTGCTGGACGGAGAAGTTGGTCATCTCGTACCACCTGGATAGACTGAAAGAGACTAAGGGACTCGGAGACGTTGGCTGGGCTGATCTTTTTATCATCTTCCTGCACCGAGCGCTTCTGCTTCTTGGCACTCCGCCAGTGACACGGCTGCGTCTGTACAAGGGCAGAGGAAAATGGTTTATGATTTTGTGGTACTTGTGATGGCGTCTGGGGAATGAGAGGCAATTAAATTTGATTCAAGGAAGAGAATCAATATTTGCTGTCATGGACCCACCACTGTGAACGATATTTCCTTTTTGTTTTATTGTTCTAATCTTATGTATATAAAAAGAAGACCAAACAAATCCCAGTGTACCCAATTATATTAAAAAATGGTCAAGATGATGGTGAGAATAGTGATGGTAATGCCACATTAATATGAAGAGCACTGCAGAAGACTTACTGGCTCATGTAGGCGGGTTTTTCTCACCCTACCATGGTGGAGGTAGCTGAGCTTAGTCTTATGTGACTCCAGTGCATTTCGTAGTGACGCTTTTTACTTTTACATATTTTAGTTTTTGTTAAAATCTACCTGGTATTCTCGCAGTTTGTGGCCTTTTCTTTTTCATTCCTATTTCCCTACTTCCAGACTAGTCCTAGTCTTTCATCCCGTTTCTCTCCCCTCCTTAACTTATTCCCCGCACATCTTTCCTCCCTTTCCTATACATTCTTGCCATCCCTCGCTGTCTCAGGGGTCTCCCAATCTACTCCACCTTGTATTTTTCACCCGCTTATTTATGTCTCTTCCCTTTTTTCTCCATTGTCCTGCAACATAGAACTGACCGGGCAACCCTCCGTGGCACATCCTGACTCACATTCGATGTAGAGAGCTGGGGAGCCGGTGAAGCGAAAAGTCTTCATGAAAGCGTACACTTGTGTCTCGTACAGACCTTCTGAAGTCCGCGTACCTTCGAAGTGACTGATGAGCGACTCGTCCAGCGGGCACCTGGCGCAGAGAAGCACACACATAAGCATAGGGAGAGAATTTAATATACAACTGGGTTCAAACTTTAATGTAACTGTACGTATTTACCTATGACCCGATACTACAGCCGGGCCATGACACTACACTCATGTCTGGGATTTCGGAAGATCGAAAGGATCATAAGGAATAAGGGAGTCCCACACTGTGGATATATCCGTGCTTGTTTCGATAAAAATATAATACTGATAAGGACTTACCCGTAGTGGTCGATGAGAGCAATGCGCTTATTGCCGCCGTTGTGAGCATAGCAGTCACTCACCACGATGTCGAAGCCCTCTGGTAGGAGAGAAGGCCACGGTGAGAGAACTCGTCTGTTAAATTCGTTTAGACAAATGAAATTGTGTATAAAGAATACAAAACAAAGCAATTGGCACCGAGGATGGTGCCGAATGACCGACACGGATTTGATGCTTCTGATAAAGTATCAACACAGCAGTGTACATACCGAACTCTGAGCGCATGTAGATGACCAGAGTGAGGGGGTCGCCCACACGCACCGGACCTGTTACTCTCTTTCCCGTGGTGCCAATACCGTAGCGGATTTCCATGTGGCACTCTGGAGGCGTCAGGGTGAAAACTACGGGATTGCCCGTCTGAACTCTGCAACCAAACACACACACGAGTTACTACACTCTGCAACCAAACACACACACGAGATACTACACTCTGCAACCAAACACACACACGAGTTACTACACTCTGCAACCAAACACACACACGAGTTACTACACTCTGCAACCAAACACACACACGATTTTACTACACTCTGCAACCCAAAAACACACACACGAGTTACTACACTCTGAAACCCAAACACACACACGAGTTACTACACTCGCAACCAAACACACACACGAGTTACTACATTCTGCAACCAAACGCACACACGAGTTACTTCACTCTGCAACCAAACACACACACGAGTTACTACACTCTGCAACCAAACACACACACGAGTTACTACACTCTGCAACCAAACAAAACACACGATTTTACTACACTCTCCCAACCAAACACACACACGAGTTACTACACTCTGCAACCAAACACACACACGAGTTACTACACTCTGCAACCAAACACACACACGAGTTACTACACCCCTGCAACCAAACACAAAACACGATTTACTACACTCTGCAACCAAAAACACACACGAGTTACTACACTCTGCAACCAAACACACACACGAGTTACTACACTCTGCAACCAAACACATACATGTGTTACTACACTCTGCAAAACGAGAGATGCCAAGCCCATGATGATCCTTTTCAAATCACTTGTTCTCTCTAGGCTGGAATACTGCTGTACATTAACATCTCCATACAAAGCAGGTGAAATCGCAGATCTAGAGAGTGTACAGAGATCCTTTACTGCACGTATAAGTTCTGTCAAGCACCTTAACTACTGGGAACGCTTGGAAGCACTTGACTTGTACTCGTTGGAACGCAGGAGGGAGAGATATATCATAATCTACACTTGGAAAATCTTGGAAGGAAGGGGTCCCAAATCTGCACACAGAAATCACTCCCTACGAAAGTAAAAGACTGGGCAGGCGATGCAAAATGCCCCCAATAAAAAGTAGGGGCGCCAAAATTGGTACACTAAGAGAAAACACCATAAGTGTCCGGGGCCCAAAACTGTTTCAAACAGCCCCCCCATCAAGCATTAGGGGAATTCCCAATAAACCCCTGGCTGCCTTAAAGAGAGAGCTGGACAGATACCAAAAGTCGGGTGCCGGTTTCACCGGGCTGTGGCTCGTACGTCGGATTTGCGTGCGGCCAGCAGTAACAGCCTAGTTGATCAGGCCCTGATCCATCGGGAGGCCTGGTCATGGACCGGGCCTCGGGGGCGTTGATCCCCGGAATAACCTCCAGGTAACCTCCAGGTAACCAAACACATACATGTGTTACTACACTCTGCAACCAAACACATACATGTGTTACTACACTCTGCAACCAAACACATACACGAATGACTACACTCTGCAACCTAACCCACACACGTCATTACACTGGATCCATGCGGTGTAAGTGTCGAACATGGTGGAAGAACAAGCTTTCACTAGGACGACGTTTCGATTTGTTATGATCTGTATCACGATCTTTATCAATATCTACATCAAAACCTTGGCAGATTGAAATGTGGTCCCCAACAAAGCTTGGTCAGCAATTTGTATTCTTTCTATCTTCTACTCTCACTCCACTGCCTGGCTCACACCCTCCGCAAGTTTCTTTCTCTCCCTTACCCCTTGAGGCTTCCAGTAGATGACCAACGCGGGTTTAGCTTTTTGCATATATATAATCGAATCTAATTACTATACAAGAAAAAGTGGGGGTAAGGGGTGCCTTGATGCTGCTGGTTCATTAAGGGCTCTTGATACGAGAGGAATGGGAGCAACACTTGCATTAATGGGATCACCCATGATTGCCTCTCATTCCCTGGGCCCCTACATGACTCGTACAGATTTTTGCAGTTTGCAGCAGCAGCAACAACAACAACAACAACAATAATAATAATATTAATATTAGTAATAAAAATCAGCTTCTTACTAAGCAGTAGCGAATACAAATAATATGTATTACACTAAATCTCTCTTCCTGGAATATCTCGTCTCAGTGACGTGTCAACTACGTGGGTTGTTGAAGTCTTTGTACTGAAGAAGATAGACGTGTGGAGCAAACTTTTATTGTGACCACGTTTCGCTCTGTGTATAACTGACTTGGTAAAGCTCTACAGTGAGCGAAACATTGTCACAACAGACACTAACTCTGCAAACCTGTACCTGTTTTTTTTAATGCTGTCGGCGGTACGCTGTTGTATCTTGTAATGTAGTGGTTTTATACTGAGCTATGTTCACTCTCAAGATGAGTGGTGCTGTCCAACCAAACAAAAATCTGAAATTCGCCTTTTTGTCATGTTATTGTAAAACTCTCTCTCTCTCCCCCTCCCCCTCTCTCTCTCTCTCTCTCTTTTCCCCTCTCTCTCTCTCTCTCTCTCCCCTCTCTCTCTCTCTCTCCTCTCTCTCTCTCTCTCTCTCCTCTCTCTCTCTCTCTCTTTCCTCTCTTCTCTCTCCCCCTCTCTCTCTCTCTCTCTCTCTTAACAATGTTGATACTACTCTTCGTCCGTGGGACCAACTCACTCGACATCGAGGAAGGGAAAGGTGACTGTCTTCAGAAGTCGTAGCCATACTCGAAAGTCCCCCTTGAAGTGCTCGTCCCACACCTCCTCGATCAGCGGGTTGTACTGCACCGTCAGTGTTTTCCCCATCATGTTTTTTCTGCAGGAGAAAAACTAAAACTTTTATACCTCTTTCAGGGAATGTCTTAAATATTGCCTCCTGAAGGATGACAGATCAAACGCTACCCTCCTTCCCGCTGGATATCATCCTCAAACTCAGCCTTCTAGAGTATAACATGTCAAAAACTCTACCTTTCTAGAGGATAACATCTGGAAACTCTACCTTCTAGAGGATAACATCCTAAAACTCTACCTTCTATAGCAATGTTTCTCAACCTTTTAACCCTGGGGGAGCCCTTGGAAAAAATTTTCTGTCTCAGGGAACCCCTACATAAAAAGTATTATGTATCATTATTAATATCCTTCTTTCTCTTTTATAAACTTAAAGTTGATAAGGAAAATATTTTTTCTGATAACTGTTTTAAGCAAAAATAACTTACGTTTTTCTCAAGTTTATTAACAATGCCAAAAAAAAAAAAAACAAAAAAAAAAAAAAAAAACTGAAATCAAACTGCTCATTCACACACAAAAAATTAATCGAATGTATAAACAAAAAAAAAAATAAACATAAATAGCCAATATCAAATATAAGACACAAACAGAACAAAAACAGATGATAACTACTACAGTGACTTAATCCTTTATTGACATTGTTGGAAAGGCATAAGATAAATCAAGGCTAAATGTCGAATGAACAAATATATGGGTCAAAGAAATGTTTTTTTTATTTTTTTTGAAGCCAATTTAAATAACGAGATTTGCTTGTCTAATGTGACACCTGTGAGTGTCTTTTAGCACATAAATACTTAACTGGAAGTTGAACTTTAGAAAATCATACACAAGTTTTATCTTTAACTGAAAGGAGACGATTTTTGTCTTTACTCTTGATTTGTTAGATAAGAAAAATCTTCCTCACACATGTAAGAGGTTGAAAACTACAGCAATATATTTATTGCTTTCCTATGAATGGCAGGATACTCTTCCTTCACAGAAATTCAGAACTTGTCCAAGGATAGGTCAGTAAATATCATGTTAAGTGCACGATCAGACTGCAGCTCACAAAGTTCTTCCTCTTCTCTGAAAGTCTAGTTCTCAGGGTGAGCAGAAGATTCAGAGTCTGGATCCCTCACCCAATCATACACTTACGTTGAAAGGGAGGGAAAATAATGTTCGATTATCATCCACAGTTCTTCCAGGTGGGTTTTTAATAAGACTTGAAATTTGCAGTAGGTTTAAACATCTCAAGATCTCCTTTTGCAACATGATTTTTTTTCCAAAGACTTAATCTTCTTATAAATCTAAGAATCTTGTCACTTGAAGTCAACGCATTTTTTGCAGGGCCTTGCAGTGGCTTGTTCAGCTGATTCATGTGATGAAAAATGTCTGCTAAGTAGGCTAGCCTCTACAACCATTTTTCATCTTCAAAGCACTTGGCAAAATCTTGCTTATTGTTTTCTTGAAAGTATTCCTACTGTTCATCTTTCAGCTCAAACACCAAATTTAGAACTCTTCCTCTACTCAACCACCAGATTTCTGTATGTAGCGAGAAGTTTATGTGCTTTTTGTCCAGGATTTTCATACAACTTTTTAATAATTCTGGAGTGAACTGGTCTTTGTTTAATAATGTTAACCATTTTTGTAGCATTATCAAAACGTTTTTCATTTCATTTCCAAGAGATTTTGAAATCAGTACCTTTCTGTGAGGGAAGTAGTGTATTGAGACATCAGCATTTTCTTGTTTTAAAAGAGAAATCAATCCTCCTATGGAGCCAACCATTGATGGAGCGCCATCAGTACTGATGCCAACACAGTTCTTCCAAGAGAGACATCTTGTTTCCAGATATGGGACCAGTGGTCCTCATATCTGGAAACAAGATGGGCTAAACGCAAGCTGGACTCCAAGGTATTAGTCCAGTATAAATATATATAAAATATATATATATATATATATATATATATAAAATATATAAAATATATATATATATATATATATATATAATTTTATATATTTTAATGTATATATATATATATATATAATATATATATATATATATATTTTAATATATATATATATATATATTGTGTGTGTGTACTCACCCATTTTTTGTTTGCAGGGTCGGTTAAAAGCTCCTGGCCCCGTCTCTCACTGGTCACTACAAGGTACTCTCCCTGCTCCATGAGCTTTAAAACATACCTCGTCTTAAAACTATGTATCGTTCCTGCCTTCACTACGTCACTTTCCAGACTATTTCCCCTTCCTGACAACTCTGTGAATGAAGAAATACTTCTTCCAGGTAAACTCCAGGTAAAAACCCCTTTGACTCATCTAAGTCTTTAACTTCCTATTGTAACCCCTTGTTTCTTGTCCCATCTCTCGAACATCCTGTCTCTGTCCAGCTTGTTTAATTTTCCCGCAAATATTTTATATTCGTTATCAGTCTCCCTTTAAACCCCCCTGTCCTCCAGTATCGTCAGGCCTATTTCCCTTAACCCTTCTTCGTAGGACATTCCCTTAAGCTCCGAGACTAATCTTTTTTGCAGACCTTTGCACTTTCTCTGATAATCTGACGTGCTTGACCAGGTGTGGGGTCGAAACAGCTGTTGCTTAGAGAGTATTGAAAAAATACAAATTTTGGAGATGTAAGCTGCACTTTTCAGGCATTATTTGTATGGTCACAACAAAACTTCTGTGCAACATTTCAGACCATTTACCCTACAGCATCGCGATCGACTTTTCTCCATATTATACACTACTGAGGCAATTACATGTAGTTATAATTTATTAGTTGTCAGGATAATCATCAAGTGCACATTCTTTATATTATTTTTGATTGTGAAGATTGTATAATCAAATGTACATGAGGTTTTTATCAATCATCAACTATTTAATTTTAATTAAATATTACAAGTTAAAGTGAAGTCTTTCTTGGTGCGGAACTTGGGCATCACTTTCCTGGAAAATATTCTCTGCCTGATATATCCATCTCTTGCCTTCTGTCCAGTCACTTTAATGTAAGCTTCAGTCATCAATTTTATCCCTCTCTCAACAACCTGAGTGTTGTTTGGCCACTTGGGCACCTCCAGTGGAGTCTCATTAATTTTCAGAAACTGTTGATCTGTTAGAGAAGCAATGAAAGGAGGCTCAGTTTTGAGTTCAGTCTTCCAGTCAATCATGGCATGATAGTTCTTTGCTTGCCAATTTAGTTTGGGAATCACAACTTTTCTTGAGTTGACAATAGGAGCCAAATTGTCATTTCTCTTCATCTTCACTGTCATCTCATACGTGTGTTAACAGTTTCGTCACAGAATCAGCGAATCTTCTCAGCCTTCAGTTCTCAGTTACGTTCTCTGTCTGCTGATTCTCTTCTCTAATTTTCTTGTTTTTGAGACGCTTGTCTCCTCCAGTCACGTTTCGTCAGCGCACATACAAAGAAGCAGCTGTTCTTGTGACAAAGTAGAATTCTTTGGCAGTCTCTATACTATATTCTTTTCTTCACTGTTCAGATGTCTCATAAATTACATGACTGGAAGACGTTCTTGACCCTATGTGACTAAGCTGCAGCTTGAGTGGAACCACGTTGAGCAATGAACTTTAAGTCATAAGACGACTCTTTTCAGCTCCTGACTGGTCTTTATGCTGCCACATTTCAGCCCAAGGATCCTACTCCTAAAGTATTCCACACTGACACACGTTAACCTGGGTTAAACATCATCAATAACACCCGTGATATTCCTTTGCCACCTTGTCATTCAGAACAGGGAAATCAGTGAAAATGACTGGTTTGGAACAGCAACTGGCAGCCAGGGCAGAGATCTTGTTTTCTTTCCAAAGAATCTCTCTAATGCTCAGGACCACTTGGCTTACCATCATAGTGGTAGAAAACAGCCGGAACGGAGCTTTATTTCCATGAAGTTGACAATAAACAATGGACTGGATGACCAAAACAACATTTTAAGATGATGAAAAAGGCTCCATTGTCAGCTCCGACATTTTGTTGGTTCCGTCACAACAACACAAACCCAAAAGGCTTCCGAGTTAGTTTTCTGCTTCACACCAGAAATGTACAGATATCTTGGCAACTCCTTTCCCTGGCCTGACCCTTGGGGTCATATGAGTGAGATATCAGTGCTTTGGGGTCCACCAAGAGACAAAAAGATCTCAACCACTATTTTTTGGACTCCAATTCTTGGCTTCTCTTCTTGTCATTACACGAGTGGAGGTCTTCTTACCATCAAATAGTGATGTGATATTTCCAAGCTTGCTAGCTCATTATCTTCCCTCTCCATTCGGTATTTAATTGGCATCTCGTAACTTTGTAGCCAAAACTTGACTTTTTTGTCCTTGGTGATAATGCCATAGTGGCAAGTCATTAAGGTGGGGTGAATAGCAGCTCCAGCATAATCACTGATCAAGCATCGGTCCTTTGGCGGCAGTGTGGGGGGAGTCTTTTTCTGTTCTGCTGTGAGTTCTGGATCAGACCACTGAGACATATCACATCAGTATCGACGAAGGGCTATCTCTGACACACTCAATATCGTCAGAATCAAACTTCTCCAGTGCCGGTTCATTCTGTCTTTCCTTAAGCTGCTTCTGGCTCATTGCTGCATCCTCTCTCTTTTTCGTCACTCTATCCTAAATCCTCGTTACTGTTATGTAAATACAGCTAATTTTCATATTCCTATCGCCTTCTGGTCAGGGAAAGTACCTCACCCTTTAGGAACTTTCACATCACAATTACAGGCAGGTGGTATTCGTCACAATCTTTATTTGTTAGCCAACACCTGACAGGCGGCAGCAGGACAGAACAACTACTTAATCAAACATCTCGTTCATTTCTTCCTGAAATGTAACTTTATTGGGACATTTGTTCTTATTCCTCTACTGTACTTTTTTCTCAATCTTTCCTCATTAGTTTTCTGGTTGAGAATAGGAACATTCTTTCTGTCTCCAATAAATTTCTTCCATAGTTCAGACAATCCTTAGTGCTGTCCCTTATAATCACGAAACATCGTAAAAATTTCCTTTATCACATTTATAAATACCAGCATTCCTAACTTATCGCCTTGCTGAAGTTTGTTCACTGGAAACACTGTCATGGTCAAACACATGTTCTGCGACTTCCTCGTTACATTGTAGCAAACTCTGTGTAAAGCCAATAAGTAATCAGAGTATCTGAAAAAGAGAACTTGTTAATGTTTAAACTACTGCAGAGTACAATACAGTACATAAAACACGCGCTGCGCCATCAGTAATACAGACATTCCAAAATTTCAGTCACAAATGCTGTAGTAAACTTCAACTAATCGCTTCATATTTGGCACTGTACTAAAACGTATATAAGGAAAAATGCCTGGGAATGCAGCTTTGACCAAAATTTCAATGCTTCTATGCCATACTCCAATTTGGCGTGCTACATGTGTACGAATTGAACAATTCCTTACTGATTGTAGGAACCTATCTTTGGTTTGCCAGGTCCAATGCTGCAGCGTTATCTATTGATGTGCCCTCAGGAAAATTTCTCGTATATACTTACACTAAGATCCTTTTCTTTGAGTGAGGTTTGCAGTTTTGGGCCACTGCGCATACTCTTCTGCGTTTTCTTGCCCTAACCCGTCTTCCCTGATTTCCCTTTTTGGGGGGTAAATTCCAGGGGCCATTTTGAACACGCTTACAGCCTGCAGTCCTTTGTGGAATCCCACTCGTCACAGGCGCCCACTCTGACACCTCATCACGTACCATGACTCGTTGTTGCCTCACTGTCAGGTATTCTCTGATTCATTTGCAATTCCTTTCCTGTTGTGTGCCTGATCCTCTAGCTTCTGCACTAATCTCTTGTGAGGAACTGTGTCGAAGGCTTTCATGCAGTCCAAGAAAATGCAATCCACCCACCCTTCTCTCAAGTCTTACTTCTGTTACCTTGTCATAAAATTCCAGTAGGTTTGTAATCAGGATTTCCCTGCCCTGAAACCGTGCTGGTTGTCATTTATAACCCTATACCTTTCTACTGTAGGTGCTCCCCCATTCTTCTCCTGATAATCTCCTTTGACTTTGCACACTATACACGTCAGTGACACTGGTCTGTAGTTTAATTGCTCGTGCCTGTCTCCTCTCTTAAAAATTGGGACTACATTTGCCGTCTTCCATACCTCAGGTAGTTGCCCAATTTCAATGGATGTATTGAAGATTGTTGTTAGTGGCACATACAGCATCTCTGCTCCCTATCTAAGGACCCAAGGAGAGATGTCCGATCCCACCGCCTTTGAGGTATCAAGGTCACTTAACAGCTTCTTCACCTCCTCCTCAGTTGTGTGTATTTCATCCAACACTTGTTGGTATATCTATGGTGTGTGTGTGTACTCACCTGTTTGTGGTTGCTGGAGTCAAGACATAGCTCCTGGCATATGTGTGTGAGTGTGTGTACTCACCTATTTGTACTCACCTATTTGTGGTTGCAGGGGTCGAGTCATAGCTCCTGGCCCCGCCTCTTCACTGATTGCTACTAGGTCCTCTCTCTCCCTGCTCCATGAGCTTTATCATACCTCGCCTTAAAACTATGTATGGTTCCCGCCTCCACTACTTCACTTTGTAGACTATTCCACGACTTGACTACTCTATGACTGAAGAAATACTTCCTAACATCCCTTTGATTCATCTGAGTCTTCAACTTCCAATTGTGACCTCTTGTGTATGTGTCCCATCTCTGGAACATCCTGTCTTTGTCCACCGTGTCTATTCCGCGCAGTATTTTATATGTCGTTATCATGTCTCCCCTGACCCTCCTGGCCTCCAGTGTCGTCAGGCCGATTTCCCTCAACCTTTCTTCGTACGACAATCCCCGTAGCTCTGGGACTAGTCTTGTTGCAAACCTTTGTGTGTGTGTGTGTGTGTGTGTGTGTGTGTGTGTGTGTGTGTGTGTGTGTGTGTGTGTGTGTGTGTGTGTGTGCCTCATTATAATATAAAATTTTCTGTAGAAAATCCGATGGTTCAGTATAAACATATGAAGGGCGTGTAAAAGATCAACATGACGAGTGAGGGGTTATTGGAAGAGTGAATCTTGCACTGGATGTGGGGAAACAGAGGCTGGTAACTGATCCATTGAGAGCAGAGAAGTGCCTGACGGAGTTTGGTTCAGCAGTGAGTGTGGCTGGTGAGTGTACGACCAGTTTCATGAGAGGTCAGTTGTGTTGAGTGTGACCGACGTTTAGGTATTCAGTAGTTAGTTAGTTTAATGTTTATTATGCACCTCATACCCATCCTGTGGGCGGTAGTCAAAGGATTACTAGAACAGAGTATACTACTGACTCCGGCCATACAATAGAGCGGAAAAATAATGTAAGGGACCTGGGAGTAGTAATGTCTGAGGATCTCACTTTCAAGGATCACAACAGTGCCACGATCGCACGTGCAAAGAAAATGATAGGATGGATAATGAGAACTTTCAAAACGAGAGATGCCAAGCCCATGATGATCCTATTCAAATCACTTGTTCTCTCTAGGCTGGAATACTGCTGTACATTAACATCTCCATTCAAAGCAGGTGAAATCGCAGATCTAGAGAGTGTACAGAGATCCTTTACTGCACGTATAAGTTCTGTCAAGCACCTTAACTACTGGGAACGCTTGGAAGCACTTGACTTGTACTCGTTGGAACGCAGGAGGGAGAGATATATCATAATCTACACTTGGAAAATCTTGGAAGGAATGGTCCCAAATCTGCACACAGAAATCACTCCCTACGAAAGTAAAAGACTGGGCAGGTGATGCAAAATGCCGCCAATAAAAAGTAGGGGCGCCATTGGTACACTAAGAGAAAACACCATTAGTGTCCGGGGCCCAAAACTGTTCAACAGCCTCCCATCAAGCATTAGGGGAATTGCCAATAAACCCCTGGCTGCCTTCAAGAGAGAGCTGGACAGATACCTAAAGTCAGTGCCGGATCAGCCGGGCTGTGGCTCGTACGTCGGACTGCGTGCGGCCAGCAGTAACAGCCTAGTTGATCAGGCCCTGATCCATCGGGAGGCCTGGTCATGGACCGGGCCGCGGGGGCGTTGATCCCCGGAATAACCTCCAGGTAACCTCCAGGTAACCTCCAGGTAACCTCCAGGTACATAAATGGTCCAGGGATATTCAGTAGAGTCTCGGATTTACGTAAGTGAGAACTGTTTGGGTCATTTCATTTACATTGTCTGTTTACGTTTGTAATATTAAAGTAACATATGGGTAACTAAATGGCCTCTTGAAAGTTTGTTTATTCGATACATTCTAAAGAGTTCTGTGTATCGTTACAGCAGCAAGTTCCTACGTGGTGACCACAACACCATAACCTACGTGGTGACCATAACACTATGACCTACGTGGTGACCACAACACTATGACCTACGTGGTGACTACAACACCATAACCTACGTGGTGACCACAGCACCATAACCTACATGGTGACCACAACACCATAACCTACGTGGTGACCACAACACCATAACCTACGTGGTGACCACAACACCATAACCTACGTGGTGACCACAACACAACCTACGTGATTACCTTCACTCGGCCTCCATCACTTTCTTACTTACCGAGGTGGTGCCACTTTTGGCCTACTTACCGAGGGCGTGCGACCTCTGATGTCCTCCCTGCCCTTCTCATTGCCACTCAGAGTACCGCAACGGTTAAGCTGGATGAAGAAGTCGTAAACGAGGCGACCAGAGCCGTTCACGTAGATGCAGTCTCCATCGTAGGCATAACCTGGAGACGCGGGAGGAAGGAATGGAAAAACATTGTTAAAATCTCACATACACACTTACGCTGATGAGTCTTATATACTCAAACAAGGAAACACATTCACCATCATTCAATCAATATATATCCTGCCAGAAATGTGCAGACATGACAATTTAGTTGATTCCCCGATCATTGACATCCAAGCTTCTCCTTCAGGGTGCAGGCGCCGTAATTCCTGCTCCAGGACTCCAACCTGACTAAGTGGTATCCCTGATCTACTTAAAAAACATTGTGTGTGTACTCACCGTTTTGTTGTTGCAGGATTGAGTCTCAGCTCCTGGCCCTGTCTTTCAGATGGACACTACCGGCTTTCCTTTCTTTTGGCTGCGCGAGCGCTATCATACCTATCCTTAAAACTATGTATAAATCATATGTCTACCACTTCACTGTTTAGATCGTTCTACTTCCTGACCACTCTTAGTCTAAAGAAATATTTCCTAGCATCCCTGTAACTCATTGTGTTTTTATGTTGAAGCCTTGCCCTTGTGTACCTGATTCCCTCCTCTCGAGCAGATTAGCCTTGTCCATCATATAAGCTCCTTGAGTAATTTGTTGTATGCCGCAATCATATCACCTTTGACCGTTCTGTCCTATAATCTCGTCAGGTTTGGATCTTCTAGCCTCGGCTCTGAGATCTGTCTCGTTGCAAACGTTGATAACTTTTCCAACTTCCTGCTATGCTATATTAAATGTGTGTTCTATACTGATGCTAAATATCACAAGATGAGTCTGACATACATGTACGCCCTATTATAGTGTCGTGAATAACTCCTTGTTGATGTTCCTTAAATTCACAAGTCTGTTATGTCCTGCAACGGTTAGTTGATGTGCGCCTTAGGTTATATGTTCGAAACTATGCTCACCCCAAGATCCTTCTATTCAGGGTGGGTTGTAACCTTTGTTTCCCGAGCCTGTACTCTGTTTATTGTCGTCCTTTCCCTTCCCCGATTTTTACAACTCAGCAGTTGCTGGGGTTAAATTCTAATAGCCACTTATCAGATTAGTTCTGCAGCTTGTCCAGATCTATTTGTAGTCTTTCCTGGTCTGCTCCTGTTTGCATTCACTTCATTAATTTTATGTTATCTGCAAACAAGAACGACTCTGATTCGATTTCATACACAATAAACAGAGCTGGTCCCAGCACTGACCCTTGAAAGACTCTGCTCGTCACACTCTCAATCCCACACCTCCTACCGGGCAATCACTCATTATTTTCTTCCTTTTAAGTATTCATTGATCCACTGTAGTGCTTTTTCTGTTTTTCCAGCCTGCTCCTCTAGCTTTTGTCCCAATCTTTTATGAGGTACTGTACAGTGTGTATGTGTGTGTGTGTACGCATGAAGGTAGGAACATGCGTGCTTGCGTCTGTGCTGTCGTGCGTGAGACTAAAGCCTTGGGCACAACTTAAGACTTAACTTACCTAAGGAGTAGATGAGACCGCTGAAGGAGCCGTTGAACTGGACATGGATCCTCATGAAGTCATCCTGGCACTCAGCATCGATATCTGTAGGTAGGTCACACCACAGCACAAGTCAGACTAGGCCACACCACAGCACATGACAAGGTAGGTCACACACCACACAGGTCAGGTGATGTCCCACTAATGTGTTGGTCCAGATGGGGCCCCCAAGAACTATGCTTGGGGCCCCCATTTGGACCAACAGAGTATGTCTCAGATCAAAGGCCGGGCTTCCTTCCCTGGCTGACAGAGTAAGATATATAAACGCCTGCAAAGTAGCCACGATTCTGCACCGGCAGCAAGGTACCCCACTAAGAAGACGGATATTGACAACCATGACACAAAGAACCAACTCTCTTCACGGACTACTCCTGGATTTGTTCGTTTTGTGCTGCTGAGCGGAAGCTGCTGCCTATACAACTACTCCTTGAGAAGAGTTGTGACCTCCCTGTTGCTGGGTACCATCCACCACCTCCCTGGCGCCCAGATCCCGCCGATGTTTGCGTCATGCAACTACCTATCTCTAAACGTCTCTGCAGTTGTGAGGGAAAAGTTCAACAGATAGGAGTAGCGAGCGAGTATATGGTAACGATAGTTTGATTGCCGGCTGCTTGTTAAGGTGGGGTCAGTCTAGCTCCCGCTATCCCTTCCCTCCCCTTTCTCCCCACCCGGAAAGGTGACATGTGGGGCTCCGGCCAAACAGTAATCACTCGACTTACAGCTCCCAGCACAACTGTAAGTAAAAGCCTCTGCTCCTATTCTAGTGGATATTGGTTGAAAGCTTCACTTTTGACCAATAATAAACTTTGTCCTTTCAGTTTTAAGCTCCACATGAGACTTTTCGATAATCACCACCTTTTTTAAGTATCTTACACTTATCATGGAGAGTGATTTCTTAAGCAGTGGGTAACCTGTCTCTCTTTCCAGCTTGGAATGACAGCTCGGGTCACCTGCCAACGAACGAGAAGTGTTGAAGGAGACAGACTGAAAACGGTCTTGGGATGTCACCTTATAATCTGCCTACCTGATTAATTGTACAGGACACTACCCTTCATCTTTGCAGTGGTAAAGAACCTGCGTTTCTGTCATCTGGACTGACTATTCAAGGCTATAGACTCCGTGAAGAACTAGTCGTTGGGTTGTCACCAACACCTGTGACCCCCCCCCCCCACATCATCAGTAACGGCTACAATTTCTACAAGACCTCCACCAGACACCCCAGTATAACTGTATATATTAGCGTTGAATTCAAATGTCATATTTTTATTTCATTTTTCATTTTCCTGTCAAATAGGATACACATTCATTTTTTCAATGTTTTATCTTTGTATTACTAAATAATAAAGTGTTTATCTTTGTGAATTATTATTTCTTTTTCTATTCATTAATTTTCCTGAGGAGGAGCCAGCCTTGGTAATACTGTCTGAAGTTGTTACAGAGCTGAGTAAGTCTTCACAAGTGGTGACCTTGCCAGGATCAACTCTACTGAATCAAGATTCAAGTCCATCTCGAATCTACCATTGGAACTTCAACGCTGCATACAACAGACGGTTACCACCGGCCATGAGTAATCATTCTCTATGATAGGACAACAGTACAGGTATTTAAAAGATTTGGTGATTGTTATAGTCTCAATTTATTGTAAGTCAAGTCAAGGCAGGATATACTAGTTAATTCTGTCTCCTTTATTCTTGAGCTTGAAACGATTTGGAGGAATAGACTCTAGGGACCCTAGATTTTCCAATGGCAAGGTGTCTCATTGAGCTCTTTATTATATCAAGGGAACTGTCGTAGGACACTCTTGATTTGTTGGTGAGAAGATTGGATGGTCAAGGGACCCCATTCTACTTACTGTTTGCTCGGAGCCGGCATAGAACCCTTCGTTTTCATTCACATACTGTTTAATCGAAGCAGGGATCGAGCCCTCTGATTTATTTACAGTTTGAGTGGAGCAGGAATTGAACCCTCCGTTTTACTTTGATATATCCGTTTCATTTTCCCCTGGTAGTTTAAGTTATTCTTGCAAGTATGGAGGAATACCAGTTTTGGATGAACACTGGGAGTAAGTTAGGAATAACAGGGAAGAATTTAGAAGCTTTCATTAGCGCTAAGACCCAGGAAAGAGAAAGAATGGAGAGAGAGTACCTTGAAAGAGAGGAGAAAAAGGAGAGAGATAGAATTTGAAAGAGAAAGTCAAGAAAGACAGTTAAAAAGAGAAAGAGGGGAAAAGGGAAAAGGGAGAGAGAGAGAGAACTGAAAGAGAGGAGAAAAAGGAGCGTGATAGACTTGATTGGGAGGAGAGAGCTAGAGTACGTGAGGAACAAGCTAAAATACGTGAGGAACAAGTTAGGTTAAGAGAACTTGAGGAAAAGAGCAAAAGATAGAGAAGTTGAGGAAAAAGCTAGAGAGAATGAACTGCGAGAGAGACAAAAAGATCGCGAGCTCGAAAAATCTAGCATTGAATTAGAGAATTAAAAGTTAACTCTTACACAACAACAATTAGAGGAAGGAGTAATTGAACATCATTTCAGCTAGTGCACATATTCCAACACCTAATTACCTCCCTTCACAGAAGGTGAAGACATTACTTCATACATTATCAAGTTTGAAAATACTGCTACCCTCTGTGAATGGCCTGCTGACACCTGGGCTACCAGGTTAGAAATGTTATTTTCTGGTACAGCTTTGAATATCTATGCAACTTTGTCGCAGGATATCATATGTAATTATAACCTACTGAGAAGGCAATCCTTAAAGCATATCAAAAACCACAAATTATTATAGGAAAGATTTCAGGTATGCCACCTTACAGCATGGCCAAAACCTTTCAGCAGTTACAGGCAACACTCTTCATTTGTTCGACTTTTGGGATGAGGGGTTCAGGAATTGTCACAGTTATGAATCTCTTAGAGACTTCATGGTTGCGACCAGTTCCTGACAGCTCTTTTCCCCACCATACGAACAATTTATTAGAGAACGTAACCTGATTTTAAAACTGATGAAGTTGCTGAGGCTGCTGACTTGTATGTTGAGGCTCCACAATTTTATAAGGACCTAAAGGGATCGAACCTTAAGGGCAATGGTTCACCTAAACCAAAGATTAAAAAGCTAAGTAGAAACAAAATCACCAGTATTATAAAAACATGTCATGGTGTTGTGGCGGATCGGACAAAAAAATTTTCCAGATTGCCCTTTCCCAAAGAAAATAGAAAAATTTGGGTTGTTTTTGTTGACGGAAATGCCAAGCACCCTTTGTTTCGGAGCAGTTTGGTTAAAAAGTCTCAGACATATTAGTGACAGGGATGTCGTGCTTTTTAAATTTTCGGACAAAAGTTCCCTTATTTTAAAAAACCTCTCTGTGTCCTCTATTCTTTCAGATTACTTGGGTGTGAAATTTTTCCCCTACAATACGTTTTTACTTGAAAACTAAATGGTTCCCCGGGTTTGGTCAAATTGCGGGACTGCCCCAATTACTTGTTTATAATATGGGTAACATTAAAGGTGCCGTCTTTTTCAGAGGCAGATCTTTCGCACCCCGGGGATCTAATTTTCCCCCGCCTTCTTCCTTGTAATTTAAATAAGGCCCTTAACAATTCCACACCGGAAGCTGCATTATTTGTACGTTCTTTGGGGGGTGGAAACGTTGATATGCTCTCGATAGTGAGGTGCAGGATCACCCGTCCCCTGTCATTGAAAATAAGGGTTTTTTCCCCCGGGCCCTCAATGTCTTGACTAGGGGTCGACCATAACCCTGGCCTTCTACCTCCTCTTTCCCACCCTAAGTCCTTTTTTTTTCCCGATTTTTTCGTCCCAAAGGGGACTTTGTCAATTACAGCGAATTGCCCTTTACTTCGGGATTGTCTAATCAAGCTTTTAACAAAAAAGTTATCCCGGGGGATAGTACTCATAATTTGAATATATTAAAGGTATCTTATATAAAACTGTATTTAAATCCATTTTTCAGCCCTAGATTATTTCCCCCCTTGTTGTTCCAAAACCTGTCGAGGATGTTCTTCATGGTCATGATTTGCCCGTGACCAAAACACTTGGCCCCTGTAAGACGGGATAAACTCAAGCACACTTATTTTTTTGGCAAGCATGTCTTACAGGGTTTCAAAGAAGTTAGTTCTTGCAATGGTGTCAGGTGCTTACTGCACAAAATAAAAACACTCTTATTCCTGTATATTTATTAAATCTAAAATTTTCCCCCTGCAGAAACGGATCCCACCATAGAAAAGGGAAGTTTGGCCCCTTTTGGGGGGGTATTCCAAACTTAAATTTTATTTACTGGGAAAAAAAATTTATTTTGAAACGGATCACAAACCTTTGATATACCTAGTAACTTTTAAGGGAACCAACAGTCGCCTCTTGAGGTGGACATTGGCACTCCAAGCTTTTAAGTTTCATATTGTGTATATCAATGGTTCATCCAATTATTTCTCTGACTGGTTAAGTCGTGACAGTCAGTAGATTTGTTGCCTTACGCGACTTAGTATTAGAACTTTTTCCTCGCCTATTCTTCTTATACTCTTTGACTATAAGTCTTGGTATGGGGGAGTGCGAGGGAAAAGTTCAACAGATAGGAGTAGCGAGCGAGTATATGGTAACGATAGTTTGATTGCCGGATGCTTGTTAAGGTAGGGTCTGTCTAGCTCCTGCTATCCCTTCCCCCCTTTCTCCCCACCCCAAAAGGTGACATGTGGGGCTCCGGCCAAACAGTAATCACTCGACTCACAGCTCCCAGCACAACTGTAAGTAAAAGCCTCTGCTCCTATTCTAGTGGATATTGGTTGAAAGCTTCACTTTTGACCAATAATAATCATTGTCCTTTCAGTTTTAAGCTCCACATGAGACTTTTCGATAATCACCACCTTTTTTAAGTATCTTACACTTATCATGGAGAGTGATTTCTTAAGCAGTGGGTAACCTGTCTCTCTTTCCAGCTTGGAATAACAGATCAGGTCACCTGCCAACCAACGAGAAGTGTTGAAGGAGACGGACTGAAAACGGTCTTGGGATGTCACCTTATAATCTGCCTACCTGATTAATTGTACAAGACACTACTCCTCATCTTTGCAGTGGTAAAGAACCTGCGTTCCTGTCATCTGGACTGACTATTCAAGGCTATAGACTCTGTGAAGAACTAGTCGTTGGGTTGTCACCAACACCTGTGACCCCCCCCCCCCCTACATCATCAGTAACGGCTACAATTTGTACAAGACGGTATCAACCTCCACCAGACACCCCAGTATAACTGTGTATATTGGCGTTGAATTCAAATGTCATATTTTTATTTCAGTTTTCATTTTTCTGTCAAATAGGATACACATTCATTTTTTCAATGTTTTATCTTTGTATTACTAAATAATAAAGTGTTTATCTTTGTAAATTATTATTTCTTTTTCTATTCATTAATTTTCCTGAGGAGGAGCCAGCCTTGGTAATACTGTCTGAAGTTGTTACAGGGCTGTGTAAACCTTCACAGCAGTCAAGACACCCTCAGCAATCATGCTGAGGCAAAGCATGGCACTGGCAGAGGGACGCACATGTGAAGTGTATTTCACAGACGGTTCTGTCGACCCTGAGAGGAAGAGAGCAGCAGCTGGAAAGTACCACAATGGCCACACACAAGGCTGGCGACTCCCTGACCACTGCACGATCCTTCAAGCTGAGTTGGTGACAATTCAACAGGCATTGTCACATGGGCTACGACATCGACTCCGACCTGTCATACATGTTGACTCCACCTCTGCAATTAATGCCCTCTCCCATCCCCAAACACAGGACAATGTTCACCTCATCAAATTGATCCTGAGCATAATGTCAGCCTTAGAAGTTGAGGGTAACAGATCGACACTGAGCTGGATCCCCAGCCATACTGGCATCCGGGGGAATGAGGCGGCAGATGATGCGGCCAAGGCAGCCACAGATTATTCACATGCTGAGATTACTGTCCCCATCAGCCTACGCCAGACCAAACTGGTGGCCGCCAGAGCAATGAAACTTATGGGGGAGTTCCTAGGTGATACCCCTTCTCAACAGTGGTACCGAGCAACGACTCAGGGAGAACCCCCTCCACATGATAGAAGTTGATCCAGAGCGCAGTGTACCGCCATCCATCGGCTTCGTTTGGGATTTCCCACAGCCAAGATGATGGTAGACAAGGCAGAGATATGCCAGCACTGCCAACACGTTGTTCAGCACCCCCTAACACACTATCTCCTGGAATGCCAAGCTACTGAGACACTCCGCAGGCAACTACCACTGATGTCCCCTTCGGTAGAAGACAGAGAGGACTGCAGCTATACTAGTGTACCATGAAGTCAACGAACCAGACAAGCTGTTGCCCGTAATAACGATATATCCTCCTCCTCTCTAGTGTCCACAGTTAGGACTGCACACAGTGTTCTCGCTTACGAGACGCACCAGATGAACGACCAGAACAGTGCTTGAGTAGCATACGTTGCAACATTGCCAGAGACGGGTCATCGCAAGATTAAGACCCGTGCCAGGACTCCGGTCTGGGCGAACATTATACATACATAATGAATCATCATTAGAAGTCAATAAAACTAGATGTTCAAGAATAAGATAGTCTTGCTGTATTCTCTATCTTTATTGCCTTAATGTTTCGCCTGCACATACAGGCGGACATAAAGTATAAACAAAAAAAAAGATAAGAACAAATAAGCCTCGCAAAATGACCGACGACTCTGACAAAAACTTGCAATAAAATGTGATATGTAAAGGAAGCTTAGCTCGTGAAAATTAAAAACTACAAAATTGAGTGCTCGATATTTCACAGTTTTCGTTTTCTATTTTATGCCATATAAAATTGTCTACAATCCTAAAGATTTTTTTTATTTTGTTTTTTAAAGTCTATTTTCTATAATTTTTTCTATAAAACTGCGGACTGACTCCACACGGCCCAAATTCAATAAAAAATACTTCAGCTTACATCAGTGCTTCGGTCTGAAGCTGATAAGAATATTAATTCTCAAGTTATTAGAATAATAAAATTTACACAGCTCTAAGTGAAACCAAACTTTCCTTAGAAAAGAACCACCAACACTGAAGTTTGAAGCCTATCATATAACCTATCTGCAGCAATTACTGTTAATCCAAGGATTCCTAGTATAACAATTTCAATAAAATTTCAGATTTGTACCTAAACGATCTAAACTTAATGGACGTCTTCCTCTCATGGAATTCATTTACGAAAATATTTTTGAGCCAATTAGAAGACGTAGTCAGTCGTTGTTGAATGGGAATATAACTCACTGTTTCTTTAAAGAAATCGGTAGATTGGAATTTATGTAGTCCAATAACAACATGAACCTTGTTTTCTGGAAAACATACCAGGGGGGAAAATTTGAAGCCAGTCGGAAGAGGCATTCCTTATGTATTGCTCGGGCACTAATGATTCCAACTTTTTTTTTTTATCTAATTTAGTATATTGACAAATTTGGCCGCACACAAACTTAATGACTACTGTTCTGCATGTAAGATGCATTAGCCATTAAATAGTGAAGATATTCAGAAAAAGCATTTATTTAACATGATTAAACGGGAATAATATTTCCCACTGTGTTATAGGTACAACTGGAAAATCTGCAAGTATGCACTTGCAACATCACTCTCCGCCGCTGAAGAAGAAGGTTGCAACATTTATGGATGTCTGAAGCCAAGCAGCAGAGGTTTTTCAGTCATAGAGTAGGTTGTGTATCTTTCGTCACGGGACACTTGCGTGTACCAGTAGTTGCAAGAATCTTGTTCTGGTTATCGTACACCAACGATGAAAATACGAAGCCAGTCACAGGAGGCCTCGTCTTATGAACGAAAAAACAACGAAAAGTTAGAGGAAGGAAAAAATAAGATAAAAAAAACGGGTATGTACCTTCAAATGATTAAGTATAACAGGAATGCCATCCTGTGTGATAAAGTATAACAGGAATACTATCCTGTGTGATAAAGTATAACAGGAATACCATCCTGTGTGATAAAGTATAACAGGAATGCCATCCTGTGTGATAAAGTATAACAGGAATACCATCCTGTGTGATAAAGTATAACAGGAATACTATCCTGTGTGATAAAGTATAACAGGAATGCCATCCTGTGTGATAAAGTATAACGGAATACTATCCTGTGTGATAAAGTATAACAGGAATACCATCCTGTGTGATAAAGTATAACAGGAATACTATCCTGGGGTGATAAAGTATAACAGGAATACCATCCTGTGTGATAAAGTATAACAGGAATGCCATCCTGTGCGATAAAGTATAACAGGAATACCATCTGTGTGATAAAGTATAACAGGAATACCATCCTGTGTGATAAAGTATAACAGGAATACCATCCTGTGTGAAAAAGTATAACAGGAATACTATCCTGTGTGATAAAAGTATAACAGGAATGCCATCCTGTGTGATAAAGTATAACAGGAAAACCATCCTGTGTTGATAAAGTATAACAGGAATACCATCCTGTGTGATAAAGTATAACAGGAATACCATCCTGTGTGATAAAGTATAACAGGAATACCATCCTGTGTGATAAAGTATAAAAGGAATACCATCCTGTGTGATAAAGTATAACAGGAATCCATCCTGTGTGATAAAGTATAACAGGAATACCATCCTGTGTGATAAAGTATAACAGGAATACCATCCTGTGTGATAAAGTATAACAGGAATACTATCCTGTGTGATAAAGTATAACAGGAATACTATCCTGTGTGATAAAGTATAACAGGAATACCATCCTGTGTGATAAAGTATAACAGGAATGCCATCCTGTGTGATAAAGTATAACAGGAATACTATCCTGTGTGATAAAGTATAACAGGAACGCCATCCTGTGTGATAAAGTATAACAGGAATACTATCCTGTGTGATAAAGTATAACAGGAATACTATCCTGTGCGATAAAGTATAACAGGAATACATCCTGTGTGATAAAGTATAAAAGGAATTTCCATCCTGTGTGATAAAGTATAACAGGAATACTATCCTGTGTGATAAAGTATAACAGGAATACTATCCTGTGTGATAAAGTATAACAGGAATACTATCCTGTGTGATAAAGTATAACAGGAATGCCATCCTGTGTGATAAAGTATAACAGGAATGCCATCCTGTGTGATAAAGTATAACAGGAATACTATCCTGTGTGATAAAGTATAACAGGAATACCATCCTGTGTGATAAAGTATAACAGGAATACTATCCTGTGTGATAAAGTATAACAGGAATACCATCCTGTGTGATAAAGTAAAAACAGGAATACCATCCTGTGTGATAAAGTATAACAGGAATACCATCCTGTGTGATAAAGTATAACAGGAATACCATCCTGCATGATAAAGTATAACAGGAATACCATCCTGCGTGATAAAGTATAACTGGAATACCATCCTGCATGATAAAGTATAACAGGAATACCATCCTGCGTGATAAAGTATAACTGGAATGCCATCCTGCATGATAAAGTATAACTGGAATACCATCCTGCATGATAAAGTATAACAGGAATACCATCCTGCATGATAAAGTATAACAGGAATACCATCCTGCATGATAAAGTATAACAGGAATACCATCCTGCATGATAAAGTATAACTGGAATACCATCCTGCATGATAAAGTATAACAGGAATACCATCCTGCATGATAAAGTATAACAGGGATACCATCCTGCATGATAAAGTATAACAGGAATACCATCCTGCATGATAAAGTATAACAGGAATACCATCCTGCATGATAAAGTATAACAGGAATACCATCCTGCATGATAAAGTATGACAGGTAAATCATCCTAACACTCCCGCCTGCGTTCTGGGTGTGTTAGGTAAATACATTTCTTTCTCTAACCTTCGTTAGATACTTCCTAGATTAGGGCGGCCACATGAAGCCTTCTGTCTAATTTTGATAACCGGGTATAAAAAGAATACATTGCATACTCACTAAGGACTCTGGTCATGTTGTGGTACGGCTTCTTGAGGACTCCAGGACGGGAGTAGATGTTGTACAATGGGTCCTTGTCGATAACGGAAGCCACGGGGAACTGGTGGTGGCCGGGACGGGGTCGAGGCTGGTGGTTGTAGAGGCTGGGACGGTAGTAACCTGGGTTGTGCCTTGATCCCACGTGACCTGAGTCACCCGAGCTCAGCATCTGTGGCACTTTCTGTGTTAGGGATGAAAAGAAATCTTTTTTTTTTTTTTTGTTTTTTGTCATATTTTAACTAAGAGCCAACTGTATGGGGTTACTGCTGCTGCTTCTGAAGGAAACTCTAGTGGGCACGTAAGGTTAGTTATGTTAAGAGATTTAGAAATTATCTGTACATTGCCAGAGATCTAGATATTAGAGATTACTTGATTATTTACTGATCTTTAACATGATACTTATTTAGGTTCTTGAGGTCAAATTTGAACCTGAGCTGTAAAAGCCACAAGATAATCCAACACATAGGAAAAACAGTTAGAAATATTTGTTGCTCTCTGGGTCTATTTGGAGGATAAACTTCCATATTAATAACAAGGTTAATAAGAGGATGAATATCTGTAAAATTTGAAAAAAAAAAACTGGTGATGTTTCCACACCAGGTAAACAGATATACAATGAGAAAACTTTTCACTCTATAATATACAAAATTCGCGACAAGAGGAAAACAGAACATCTTAAGCTGACAAGCACAGGAGGAATAACACATAGATATATGTGAACAGAAGTAAGTATGTGGAACAAGTCTTTATCTCTGTATTGATTCCCTCAAAGCAGAGTTATTCCAAATCTTAAAAGGCTCTTCTTAGAGCCGAATGTTGACCCAACATAGAGCTGAATGTTGACCCAACATAGAGCTGAATGTTGACCCAACATAGAGCTGAATGTTGACCCAACATAGAGCTGAATGTTGACCCAACATAGAGCTGAATGTTGACCCAACATAGAGCTGAATGTTGACCCAACATAGAGCTGAATGTTGACCCAACATAGAGCTGAATGTTGACCCAACATAGGCTTGTTCTGCTAATTGTATCTTTACAAACATCGAAGACAATTGGAGTGATGAAAAATATCCCGGTTGTTGAGGAATTAGGTCTCCAGTAAGCGCGGGGCTCAAAGTAGTTGAGAAATCATCGCGTTTTTTGATCTAGAAATCCTACTACAAATACAGTAAGATTGGAATATATATTTCTCATTTTGGTGATAATTTGTGACGAAGCTGACGTGCATGTGTCTGGCTAACAAACTTAAACCACACTGGAAACTAACACAGTCCTCAGGATTTTATGAAAAAAGTTAACGTTCTATGAAAACATTAAAACGGAGGTACGATGCAGCATACATAATGATCCATACTTATTAAGTCCTTCTCAACTTCAATCCTGCCTCCCAGTATACATAACAAGGATTACCAATAGACCCTTGATTGTCTTCAAGAAGGTGCTGGACAGTCACCTAAAGTCAGTACCTGACCAGCCCGGCTGTGGTTCGTACGTCGCTTTGTGTGCGGCCGACAATAACAGCCTGGTTGATCACGCCCTGATCCACCGGGAGGCCTTAGCCACGAACCGGGCCGCGGGGGCGCTGACTCCTGAAGCCCTCTCCAGGTATTCTCGCTCACATATTTGTCTAACCAATTTATAAAGGTATCCAAGGAAACATAGTAAGCATCTTACAGAATAGGAAAGAAAATATTAGTTGCCGACCTCGATATCCGTCTGGAGGTCTGGACGAGACTCAGCTCCAAGAGACAGATCCAGGTAGTCTTTGGTACTGCCAGCGTTCCTGCCGGTGGTATCCAGGATGTCGCGAGGGGTGGCCTGATCCGAGGTCTTGGGTCTGGAGCGGGTGTTTGGAAAGAGTGCCTGTTCATCCAGGCCACCAGAGCGGTCTGGCACTCTTGCCTGTAGCTCCGGGAACCTTGACGCCGCTTCGAAGTCGTCAGCCAGGAAGACCATCTGTAATGTTGTCTCGTTATCTTCTGTAACTTGACCAGGTTAGGATTATCTCAGTTCAAAAACGAGTGTGTAATAAGCACTGGTTACACACACACACACACACACACACACACACACACACACATACACACACACACACACACATTAACCACAATCTTCAACACATCCCTTGAAACTGGACAACTACCTGAGGTATGAAAGACGGCAAATGTAGTTCCCATTTTTAAAAAAGGAGACAGAAAAGAGGCGCTAAACTACAGACCAGTGTCACTGACGTGTATACTATGCAAAGTCATGGAGAAGATTATCAGGAGGAGAGCGGTGGAGCACCTAGAACGGAACAAAAGTATAAATGACAACCAGAGAATACATGACAGGGAGGCAACAACGAGTCATGGTGCGTGATGAGGTATCACAGTGGGCACCTGTGACCAGCGGGGTCCCACAGAGTCGGTCCTAGGACCAGTGCTATTTTTGGTATATGTGAATGACATGATGAAAGCGATAGACTCAGAGGTGTCCCTGTTCGCAGATTATGTGAAGTTAATGAGGAGAATTAAATCAGATAAGGATCAGGCAGGCCTTCAAAGAGACCTGGACAGGCTGGACACCTGGTCCAGTAACTGGCTTCTCGATTTCAACCCTGCCAAATGCAAAGTCATGAAGATTGGTGTAGGGCAAAGCAGACCGCAGACGGAGTATAGGCTAGGTGGCCAGCGACTGCAAACCTCGCTCAAGGAGAACGATCTTGGCGTGATTATAACACCGAACACGTTTCAGGAAGCACACATCAACCAGATAACTGCTGCAGCATATGGGCGCCTGGCAAACCGGAGATTAGCATTCCGATACCTAAGTAAGGAATCTTTCAAGACACTGTACACAGTGTACGTCAGGCCCATACTGGAGTATGCAGCACCTGTTTGCAACTCGCACCGGGTCAAGCACGTTAAGAAATTAGAGAAAATGCAAAGGTTTGCGACAAGGTTAGTTCCAGAGCTAAGGGGAATGTCATATGAAGAAAGGTTGAGGGAAATCGGCCTGACGACACTGGAGGACAGGAGGGTCAGGGGAGACATGATAACGACATACAAAATATTGCGTGGAATAGAAAAGGTGGACAGAGACAAGATGTTCCAGAGAGGGGACACAGAAACAAGGGGGTACTCTTGGAAGTTGAAGACTCAGATGAGCCACAGAGATGTTAGGAAGCATTTCTTCAGTCATAGAGTGGTCAGGAAGTGGAACAGTCTGGCGAGCGATGTAGTGGAGGCAGGAACCATACATAGCTTTAAGACAAGGTATGATAAAGCTCATGGAGCAGGGAGAGAGAGGGACCTAGTAGCGTTCAGTGAAGAGGCAGGGCCAGAAGCTGAGTCTCGACCCCTGCAACTACAATTAGGTAAGTACACATAAACATACACATATACACACACACATACACACACACACACACACACACACACCACACACACACGAAACACACACACACACACACACAATACACACACACCCCACACACACACACACACACCACACACACACACACACCCCAACACAACACACCACACACACACACACAAAACACAACACACAAAGGAGCTGAGTCTCGACCCCTGCAGCCACAATTAGGTGAGTACATAAGAACCCTTGGGGCCAGCGATCATGTAGCTTTAAGATTCGAATACATAGTAGAGTTACAAGTGAAGGAGGAAGCAGGAAGAGCCGGACGAATGAAACAAAACTACAAGAAAGGAGACTACGCGGGAATGAAGATCTTCCTGAATTGGATACAGTGGGACAGAGAACTGGCAGGGAAGCCAGTAAACGAGGTGATGGAATATGTGACAACAATATGCAAGGCAGCTGAGAAGAGGTTTGTACCCAAGGGTAACAGGAAAAATGAAAAACCCAGGATGAGCCCATGGTTCACCCAAAGGTGCAGGGAGGCAAAAACCAAGTGTGCTAGGGAATGAAAGAAGTATAGAAGACAAAGGACACAGGAGAATAAGGAGAGCAGTCATAGAGCCAGAAATGAATATACACAGATAAGAAGGGAGGCCGAATGGCAATATGAAAATGGCATAGCAGCGAAAGTCATATCTGACCCAAAGCTGTTGTGCAGCCACATCAGGAGGAAAACAACAGTCAAGGACCAGGTAATCAGGCTAAGGAAGGAAGGAGGAGAGACAACAAGAAATGACCGTGACGTATGTGAGGAACTAAACATGAGATTCATAGAAGTGTTCACTGAGGAGACAAAGAACTCCAGAAAGACGGAGAGGTGGGGTACACCACCAAGTGTTGGACACAATATATACAACCGAGGAAAAAGAAGAGAAGAGGCTTCTGAGTGAGCTAGATACCTCAAAGGCAATGGGGCCGGATAACATCTCTCCATGGGTCCTGAGAGAGGGAGCAGAGGCACTATGTGTACCCCTAACAACAATATTCAACACATCTATCGAAACAGGGAGATTACCTGAGGTATGGAAGACAGCAAACGTAGTCCCAATTTTTAAAAAAAGGAGACAGACATGAAGCACTAAACTATAGACCAGTGTCACTGACATGTATAGTATGCAAAGTCATGGAGAAAATTATCAGGAGAAGAGTGGTGGAAAACCTAGAAAAGACTGAGCTTATCAACGACAGTCAACACGGTTTCAGGGACGTGAAATCCTGTGTCACAAACCTACTGGAGTTCTATGACAGGGTGACAGCAATAAGACAAAGACAAGAGAGAGAGGGGTGAGTAGATTGCATTTTCTTGGACTGTAAGAAGGCGTTTGACACAGTTCCACACAAGAAATTAGGGCAAAAACTGGAGGACCAAGCAGGGATAACAGGGAAGGCACTACAATGGATCAGGGAATACCTAACAGGAAGACAGCAGCGAGTCATGGTACGAGGCGAGGTGTCAGAGTGGGCATCTGTAACGAGCGAGGTTCCACAGGGGTCAGTCCTAGGATCGGTGCTGTTTCTGGTATTTGTGAACGACATGACGGAAGGAATAGACTCCGAAGTGTCCCTGTTTGCAGATGACGTGAAGTTGATGAGAAGAATTCAATCGGACGAGAACCAGACAGAACTACAAAGGGATCTGGACAGACTGCAGGCCTGGTCCAGAAATTGGCTTCTGGAGTTCAACCCCACCGAGTGCAAAGTCATGAAGATTGGGTAAAGGCAAAAAAGACCGCAGACAGAGTACAGTCTAGGGGGCCAGAAACTAAAACCTCACTCAAGGAAAAAGATCTTGGAGTGAGTATAACACCAGGCATATCTCTTGAGGCGCACATCAACCAAATAACTGCTGCAGCATATGGGCGCCTTTCAAACCTATGAACAGCATTCCGCCATCTTAATAAGGAATCGTTCAGGACCTGTACACCGTGTACGTTAGGCCCATATTGGTGCATGCGGCACCAGTTTGGAACCCACACCTAGCCAAGCACGTAAAGAAACTAGAGAAAGTGCAAAAGTTTGCAGCAACACTAGTCCCAGAGCTAAGAGGTATGTCCTACGAGGAGAGGCTAAGAGAAATCGACCTGACGACACTGGAGGACAGTAGAGATAGGGGGGACATGATAACGACATATAAAATGCTGAGATAGATTGACAAGGTGGAGAGAGACAGAATGTTCAAGAGATGGGACACAGCAACAAGGGGACACAATTGGAAGTCGAGGACTCAGATGAATCACAGGGATGTCAGGAAGTATTTCTTCAGCCACAGAGTTGTCAGGAAGTGGAATAGTTTGGGAAGCGATGTAGTGGAGGCAGGATCCATACATAGCTTTAAGCAGAGGTAAAGCTCATGGTGCAAGGAGGGTGACCTAGTAGCGGTCAGTGAAGAGGCGGGGCCAGGAGCTATGACTCGACCCCTGCAACCACAACTAGTTGAGCACAACCACACGCACACACATACACGCACGCATATATAACAGGCCTAGTGTCTAATCGACATGTGCCTAGAACAAAATGGTAACTAATAAGAGATGAGTTCTGTATTTTTCGATCTCACACTAAGAGGATTCACCTGAAGAGGGTCTTAGTGGAAGGCTGAAAAACACAATATTCGTGTATTATTGTATTGTCTGCATGTGGGTTCGTTTGTGTCTCTCCTTAGTTATATATAACTAAACTGGGACAAGTGTCAGTTTACTTAATGCTTAATAAAAGTTAAAATGTTAAAATCCCAGGAACAGATAATCCTGCTTCGAAATCCCGCAAAATATATCTCAAATTTAAAGCAAGAAAATAAGGTAAAATATATTTTCAAAACATATACACATAGATGTGTATATTTCTAATTGTACATAAGAACATAAGAACATAAGAAAGGAGGAACACTGCAGCAGGCCTGTTGGCCCATACTAGGCACGTCCTTTACAATTCATCCCACTAACAAACATTTGACCAACCCAATTTTCAATGCCACCCAAGAAACAAGCTTGGATGTGCAAGTCCCACTCAAATCCAACCCCTCCCACTCATGTACTTATCCAACCTAAATTTGAAACTACCCAAAGTCCTAGCCTCAATAACCCAACTAGGTAGACTGTTCCACTCATCTACTACCCTATTTCCAAACCAATACTTTCCTATGTTCTTTCTAAATCTAAACTTATCTAATTTAAATCCATTACTGCGGGTTCTCTTTTGGAGAGATATCCTCAAGACCTTATTAATATTCCCTTTATTAATACCTATCTTCCACTTATACACTTCGATCAGGTCTCCCCTCATTCTTCGTCTAACAAGTGAATGTAACTTAAGAGTCTTCAATCTCTCTTCATAAGGAAGATTTCTAATGCTATGTATTAATTTAGTCATCCTACGCTGAATGTTTTCTAACGAATTTATGTCCATTCTGTAATACGGAGACCAGAACTGAGCTGCATTAAACTAGGTGAGGCCTTACTAATGATGTATAAAGCTGCAGTATGACCTTGGACTTCTGTTGCTTACACTTCTTGATATAAATCCCAGTAGTCTATTTGCCTTATTACGTACGCTTAGGCATTGCTGTCTTGGTTTAAGGTTGCTGCTTACCATAACCCCAAGTCCTTTTCGCAATCTGTATGGTTTAAGTTCTACATTATTTAACTTATAAGTGCTAGGGTTATGGACACTCCCGAGCTTCAGAACCTTGCATTTATCCACATTGAACTGCATCTGCCACTTTTCTGACCAAGAATAGAGTTTGTCTAAATCCTCCTGAAGTTCCCTAACATCTACGTTTGAATCAATTATCCTACCTATCTTCGTGCCATCGGCGAATTTGCTCATATCATAGTATTCCTTCATCAAGATCATTGATATATATTATAAACAACAACGGGCCCAAGACTGATCCCTGTGGAACGCCACTTGTTACTGATCCCCACTCGGATTTAACCCCATTTATGGACACTCTCTGCTTCCTGTCTGTGAGCCATGATTCGATCCACGAGAGCACCCTTCCCCCAATGCATGAGCTGCTACTTTCTTCAACAGTCTTTGGTGCGGAACTCTATCAAATGCCTTACTAAAATCTAAGTAAATAATATCAAATTCTTTATCGTGGTCAACAGCCTCAAAAGCTTTACTGAAGAAAGTTAATAAATTAGTTAGACAAGACCGGCCTCTTGTGAATCCATGCTGAGTATCATTAATCAAGCTATGCTTATCGAGATGGCTTCTTATAATTTGAGCTATAATTGACTCTAGTAATTTGCCTACAATTGAGGTCAAGGCTTATTGGGCGGTAATTTGACGGTAACGACTTGTCCCGTGTTTTTAAAAATAGGAATTACATTAGCCATCTTCCACATATCAGACACTACACCTGTTTGAAGAGATAAATTAAAAATATTAGTTAATGGTTCACAGACTTCCATTTTGCATTCCTTTAGAACCCTTGAAAAAACCTCATCAGGACCCGGTGACTTATTTTGCTTCAGTCGGTCTATCTGCTTCACAACCATTTCACTAGTGACTGTGATGTTACATAATTTTTTCTTCTTCTGGCCCACTATAAAAATTAATTACCGGAATATTATTAGTGTCTTCTGTGTAAAAACCGAGAGAAAAATAATTATTTAAAATCGAGCACATTTCATTCTCTTTGTCAGTAAGATGCCCATAGTTATTTTTAAGGGGACCTGTCTTATCTCTGACTTTTGTTCTATATACCTGGAAAAAACTTTTTGGGTTAGTTTTAGAATCCCTATCAACTTTAATTTCATAGTCCCTTTTAGCTTTTCTTATCCCCTTTTTAATGTCCCTCTTAATGTCAATATACTGATTCATAAGATGACCCTCGCCTCTTTTGATACGCCTATAAATTCCTTTCTTATGCCCTAGTAGATATTTCAGCCTATTATTCATCCATTTTGGGTCATTTCTATTTGATCTAATTTCTTCATACATCGAGTTTAGTTCATATTTCAGGTATTAAAGTACTTGCTGGTCTACGGGTCAATCGCTGTTTTAAACACAAACTTACAGTCTTTACGCTTTGTATCTGACGTACTATACTAATCATGGTCAGTATATCGCGGAAACAACGACGCAGTACCTTAGTCTCCTGTGGGAAGCGCAGCAGAGCAGATCTTGGTTCGTTGTGGCCCTCGTGTGGCAGAGGTGAGGTGATGGGCAAGTCTGTGGTGACGTCGAGGTCATCCTGGTCGTGTCCTGGCTGTATGGTAGACACAGCATCCTCCGGAGTGGGGAGTGTAACGAAGAGTGTGTGATGGTTGCTGGTGGGTGTGGTGACTACTGATGTACACAGACACAACGCACTCACAGCCTATACACAAGTTTCACAAAAGATAAAGACAGAGATAGCAACTGTAAAAGTACTGAACCCGTAAGAATGTCTTATTCTAGATTTATTTAACCTATGATAACTCACAAAAGTCAGCCAATTTGGCTGATTTTGGACTTACACCCGGATATCTATTTACTGCTAAGTAGACATATATAACAGCTGTAAGGAAACATTCTCTAATTTCTCGTCCCGAACAAGAATTGAACTTGAGTCCTTTCAGTTATTAACTGAAAAATAAAGAAAATTCCCTTAAAAAATTGTAAACTTATATAGTACCCGAATGCAGAAACAGATGCAACGAACAGGAGATGGTCTTACCAGTACCGTTAATGACACCGAACACCAAGACCGACACCCGACTCCTCTCTCTCGGGCATCCATTTTTCTGTCGGGAGAGGAAAAAAATGAGATTAGGGAGTTTGTTTTGAATGATACACGGTTAAATATACCAATCAATATTCCACTGAAATCATTATCAGAAAGTCCAAAGACACACTGTGTTCCAAGCTGTCAGCAGTGTGTACACCAGCCTCTACATCCACTATTATTCACCCAACACACCGTTAGATGTTATGATAAGGTGACCATTGTTTAAATAGTGTACATGACGCTGGGCGCATCTCGGCCATTCAGTCTAGGCACGATGGCAGAGTAGGATAGACATACGAGCATAGGCAGAGATCGTTCTTTAATAAACCATAACAGACCAAGTATAATGTGTCTCGCTACACAATATCACTCACCCGAGGCTAACTCAACTTACACACACACACACAACACACACACACACACACACACACACACACACACACACACACACACACACACACACACACACCACACACACACATACACACACACAACACACACACACACACACACACACACACATGTGGTCCAGTAACTGGCTTCTCGAATTCAATCCAGCCAAATGCAAAGTCATGAAGATTGGGGAGGGGCAAAGAAGACCGCAGACAGAGTATAGGCTAGGTGGACAAAGACTACAGACCTCACTCAGGGAGAAAGACCTTGGGGTGACCATAACACCGAGCACATCACCGGAGGCACACATCAACCAAATAACCGCTGCAGCATACGGGCGCCTGGCAAACCTGAGAATAGCGTTCCGATACCTTAATAAGGAATAGTTCAAGACACTGTACACTGTGTATGTTAGGCCCATACTGGAGTATGCAGCACCAGTCTGGAACCCACACCTGGTCAAGCACGTCAAGAAGTTAGAGAAAGTACAAAGGTTTGCAACAAGGCTAGTCCCAGAGCTCAAGGGAATGTCGTACGAGGAAAGGTTGAGGGAAATCGGACTGACGACACTGGAGGACAGAAGGGTCAGGGGAGACATGATAACGACATACAAGATACTGCGGGGAATAGACAAGGTGGACAGAGATAGGATGTTCCAGAGAGGGGACACAGGGACAAGGGGTCACAACTGGAAGCTGAAGACTCAGACGAGTCACAGGGACGTTAGGAAGTATTTCTTCAGTCACAGAGTTGCCAGCAAGTGGAATAGCCTAGCAAGTGAAGTAGTGGAGGCAGGAACCATACATAGTTTTAAGAAGAGGTATGACAAAGCTCAGGAAGCAGAGAGAGAGAGGACCCAGTAGCGATCAGTGAAGAGGCGGGGCCAGGAGCTGAGTCTCGACCCCTGCAACCACAATTAGGTGAGTACAATTAGGTGAGTACACACACACACACACACACACACACACGCACACACACTAAGAGGTAAGATAAGATTCTTGACGCCAGGAGAGAGTAGACCTAGTAGCGACCAGCCAAAAAGCTGGGCCAGGAGCTGTCACTCAAACCCTGCAACCACATATAGGTGAGCACACACACACACACACACACAAAAATGTGAGGAGCTCAACACGAGATTTAAGGAAGTATTTACAGTAGAGCAGGAAGGACTCTGGGGGGACAGCCCAGATGGGGACACCAACAAGGAATACACCAACAAGTGTTGGACGACTTTACATACAGATGAGGAGGAGGTGAAGAAAAACTGCTAAGGGACATCGATACCTCAAAGGAAATGGGACCGGAAACATCTCTCCATGGGTCCTTAGAGAGGGAGCGGGATATGTTGTGCGTACCACTTACACAATCTTCAACAATCCCTGGAAACTGGGAAAACTACCTGAGGTATGGAAGACAGCAAATGTAGTTCCCATTTTCAAAAAAGGAGACAGAAAAGAGGCACTAAACTATAGCCCTGTGTCATTGAGTGTATAGTATGCAAAATTATGGAGAAGATTATCAGGAGGAGAGTGGTGGAGCCCCTGGAACGGAACAGGAGTATAAATGCCAACCCAGCACGGATTCACGGAAGGCAAATCCTGTGTCACAAACCTTCTGGAGTTTTATGATAAAATAACAGAAGTAAGACAAGAGAGGAGGGGTGGGTTGATTGCATCTTCTTGGACTGCAAGAAGGCCTTTGACACAGTTCCTCACAAGAGTTTATTTGCAGAAGCTAGAGCATCAGGCGCATATAACAGGAAGGGCACTGCAATGGATCAGAGAATACCTGACAGGGAGGAAAAAACGAGTCTTTGGTACGTAATGATGTATCACAGTGGGCACCTGTGACGAGCGGGGTCCCACAGGGGTCGGTCCTAGGACCAGTGCTATTTGGTATTTGAAAAGACATGACGGAAGGGTTAGACCAGAAGTGTCCTGTTTGCGATGATGTGAAATAATGAGGGAATTAATCTGATGAGGGCCGGAGGGTTAAGGGACTGGAAGGGGAACCGTCCAGAAGGTTTGAATTTAATTGAAGCAAATCATGATTGGGGAAGGGGCCAAAAGACCGGGCAGATGGCATGGCCCAAAGGCTCCAATTATCACTGCAAAGAAAGTCTGGGGTAGGGAAGGGCCGGAAGGACACACAACAGATAATTGGGCTAGGGGCCCAAAACCCGAAACCTTCATCAATAGAAGGATCTTGGGGAAGTATCACGTGATGTTCAAGGCCATCTGTAATTGCAGCAACCCCGGTTGGGAACCCCGACACTTTGGAAAATTTAAAAGCCCACGTCATATGAAACCTGAGAGATAAAGGGGAAAAAAAAAAAAGGTTTGCAACAAGGTTAGTTCCAGAGCTAAGGGGGAATGTCCTATGAAGAAAGATTAAGGGAAAACGGCCTGACGACACTGGAGGAACAGGAGGGGGCAGGGAGGACATGATAACGGGCATATAAAAAATACTGCGTGGAATAGACAAGGTGGACAAGGACAGGATGTTCCAGGGAGGGGACACAGAAACAAGAGGCCACAATTGGAAAGGTTGAAGACACAAATGAGTAGAGAGATAGTAGGAAGTATTTCTTCCAGTCATAGAGTTGTAAGGCAGTGGAATAGCCTAGAAAATGACGTAGTGGAGGCAGGAACCATACACAGTTTTAAGACGAGGTTTGATAAAGCTCATGGAGCGGGGAGAGAGAGGGTCTAGTAGCAACCGGTGAAGAGGCGGGGCCAGGAGCTAGGACTCGACCCCTGCAACCACAAATAGGTGAGTACACACACGCGCGCGCCCACTCACACACAAACGCGACTAGCGTTCGTGTTTCTGGGCGACTTATTCTCAGTGTTTCAGAGCACGAGTGTGTCCCTAACTGTACTAGGCTTCAAGCTGATGGAGGCGGGGAAGATTAACATTACTAAAGTAGACGTGAGTCCTTCAGTGTCACTGATATCAGATATTTAAAAAAAAAATGTAGCTTGGGAGAGGTGTGCCGCCGCTGCGTGCTAGGTGGGAAGGAAAATGCATAGGTATCATAATCATAAGTGGATATTATCTCCTGCTCACTCTATCCAGGAAAGGGAACGGTATATTTTTTTTTTTTCCATTTTGGAATGTTCAGTAAGCAGCTCACACGCAAGGAGTAACTGATGGCATTATTAATCTTACGTTTAAAAATGAGATGAAATCAAATTTGTCAAGATGCTTAGTAGACAATGAGATGTGACCTGACGCAATGACGCAAAAGGGAAACTTGTTGTCACTGCGGATTGTGTACTTAGTAAACACAATGTCTACCTACTGAGACTCGCAGGACCCTATGTCTAGCCCTTATACAGTGTCATGGACTACGCTTGCTCTTCGTGGTACTCTGCTTTGACGAAAAAAACTGAAAGACAGACAGCAAATCACCCAGAACAAAATGGTAAGATTCATCCAGGACCTGGGTCCAAGAGAACATGTAGGCCAGGATGAATTACAACAACTGGATATGCTGAATGTTGAAGACAGAGTAAAACAACTGAAGTTAAATCAAGTTTATAAAATTGCTCACAGTGTCCAGAATATCTTGCTGTCAATTTTGTCAAGGTTGAGAACCAAAGCAATCATAGTACTAGGGGCAGAGAGCACAACTTTGTACTACCCACAGTCAGTGGCCAGGCTTCAAACACCTTTTATTGTACAGCAATAAAGTAATGGAACAGACTGCCTGCACGTGTCAAAGCCAGTCATAGCATGAACCAGTTCAAGAGAGTCAAAAGGTGCCTAATGAATGTAGCGACAGAAAGGGAGGAGAATGATTTTTATTTTTTTTTTTTTGCTAACACACATATAAATATAAATAACTCATTTCATCATACTCCTAGTATATCTCCTTCGTAGTATAATAAAAACTCATTATCTTCTTTATAGTACTATAATGATAAGGCATTAAAAGGACCCCAATGGAAATAAGACACTTTCTCTGACTTTTTTGGGCTATCCCAGGTTCTCTACACACATGTTGTTATGTATGATAATCTATATAACTTTATTTGTGTATACCTGAATAAACTGACTTATTGTTCACTCCGTTTTTCATTATTATCATCTACATGGGGAAGACCTAAACCCGGAGCTATCGCGTACCACTTCGAAGAGTAGCCAGCGTTTTCTTTTGCCCCAAGAACGTGGGAGGCATTATCAAACTCCTTAGATCAAGATCCCTTCACCAG